AAATACACGTGCCTGCCACTTACTACACCTACGCTACTTTATGCTTTTAGGTGTGTATGCGTAAAAACGAAATCAGCAAGTATCATTTTGACGGCCATTATGTAAAAGTGGGTGTGCGTGTGATAAGCCCACAAGTGGCCATTTGCCGGTGTTTGCGAGCCCCTGCTAACGTCCTCTGTATAATATGCTGAGAGAAAACTCTCCCACATAATGATACACACGTGCACTTATACAAAGATGAGTACGAACAATGCTGAAGTGAACTTCAAATAGAGCACAATGCTTTTTTCTGTCACAGAAAAAAAAAAACGTATCCAAATAGGTCGATGCTTTAACACTTTTTGCCTTTGCGGCCAGTATCGGTGTACTAAAATAAATTTGTTTACTTTGCACAAAAAATACCGCTATTTTCCCCGTTTGAAAATTCGAACTCTCCGAAAATAGATATTACGGTCGGATATTTTTCCGCAGAGTGTATTATTATAAGATTATTATAATAAAACATGAAACTAACTGAACGCTAGGCTCAATTCAAATCAATTCCTCCGCCCGACCCTCATCATAAAAATCGACGCGCAATCTTGGGATTGGTTCCCGCCAAAATCTGAACGGGTTTATGTAAACTCTATGGTGCTTTGATAACATCGTGTACGTATGAGCCGGTCGAAACAACGTTAATTTCGTTAAAAGGCCACACAAAAGAGGATCACACTAGAGCGGAATACCATTATATGGGACGCGCACGGAATAACGTTTCCGCCCGGTAAGCGACCTTATAAAATTAAGGGTGTGGGTGTGAGACGAGCGGGGACCGAACTCACTACTGCAGACCTGCACTGATATACTCTAACTTTGACACACAAAAGGGTTTTCAACAGTTGAGATAAACTTAATATCTCTCTTTACATTGGAAGTACCGAGTAGAGAATATGGGTCATTAGAGTAAGGGTCACTCAAGGCTGTGAATGAACATTCAAAGCATTTATATCAATTAAACAATTTAAAGGGAGTTTTGATTAGTTAAGAAGTCAGTCAATTTGGAATGACAAAGGAAGTATGAGGACCACAAAAGGAGTATTGAAATCTACGAGTAACAAGATGAAGCAAAATGTTGGGAATGTCATCTAAGCTATTAAAATATTTAAGAGTCGTAAATGAAAAGAATAGTAAATAACATTTTTAGCAAACAGCCAACTGTGAGCAACTGTAGCCAAATGCCATTTAGCGCTTGTCTACAGAGAGAGTAGAAAACTAAATGTATGGAGATGACACTGACAAGTGTCAAAATTTTCGTCAATCCCATATAATTTGGTTTTCTATTCTACATGTAGACAATCGCTAAATGGCATTTGGCTACAGGTGCTGGATAGACAAAGTGTAGTTTTTAGAATTTACGGATCACTGTAGTTCATAACATAACATCACGCCTTTTATCCCCGAAGGGGTAGGCAGAGGTGCACATTATGCCACTGTACAATGTAACACCCACTTTTCACTATTTATGTTTTGAGTCCCTATGAAATAGGGGGTGAGCCTATTGCCATATACCGGTCACAATTCTAGACTCCGTGTTAATACTGAGAATTTTTTAAAAACTCAGTAATACTTTCCCCGACCCGGAAATCGAACCCGCGACCCCTTGCGTCTACTCAGCCAACGAAGCAGTCTGCAGGTACTGTAGTTCCTAGATATAAAAGTTTAATTTCGTGAATTTCGTCTTAATATTTCTTTAACTTTTACTTGCGTTTGTAACAGCCCCAACGCAACAACTTGGGTTATACAAAAGAACATGTTTTGCGGATATTATCATACATCGTATTTGAATTTCATTAGACCAATGGAGATTAAATCTACTGCGGGCGGAAATAAGGTCCCATCTGCTAAACCTAAATTGAGCGGGTCGTTTAGGAAGATTATTTAAAAGGAAGATGAAAATAAGGTATGCTTAAGAAGAGTATTTACTTGATTTGTATGATGAGACTGGTGCAAAAGACTAAAGAAAAGACGGAATCTATCCTTTTCTTTTCCATTTATTTGGTCTTTTCTTTAGTCTTCTAGTGATGGCAGATTTGGTAAGAAGAAAGGATGGGGGTGAATCAAAAATATTAATATCATGGTACACTTCGCATATCAAAAATAAAATTATGATTTTTTAGTCATCATGGATCACAGACATGGCATTTGTAAAGTCTAATTCAGTACACAAAGTTGTAAATGTTTCAAATTTGTTATCAGATTTCTTTGAACCTCTCCAAGAACTTTATTTAAATGTTAAACGTAAATTATTTTTAGATTTCCATACTCAGATGATTTGCCTTATTTGTGGATTAACATTAATGTTTGAAGTTAATAAAAAATATTTCTGTATTTTATTTGCGGAAAATATTTGACTTTATAATTGTATTAAGACTCCAATACACGGTGACACTTCGAGAATATTTTATTTCTATTTTTGGGAGACCTCTCTGAGAATAATAAGTTTAAATTATGCATACATCAGCAAAAGTAAGACACAAAGTTCATAAATAATGAAATATTGATATTTATAGCAGACGAGCTACCGCACCCGTCTTTGTCTGAATTTAATATAAACCTTAGCAACCAACTTATAAACATAGTTTACTCAATTCATGGTAACTTCGTATTCGTACCGGACAGTAACATAAAATCGAAAAACAAAAGCGACCCCACTTGTCTATGGTTCGCAGGCTGTCAAAACTTAAGAACCATCCCGACATTGGTTTTATTACAAACCTTTTTGCTCCTTTTAATAAATCCCACACAACCAAGTTCCTGCAATGAGAATTTCATCGAGCGACGACGTGACCATTGTCATGTAAATCTAATTTGGAAAGAAATGCAAACTTTGCTGGAAACGGATGAATATTTCAAATTATACGGACACAGTCGTCGTTCGTTGTGGAAAATATTGTCCAATTTGCTCCATATCTATGGTTTTATGGACTCATTTGGGGCGGCAGACGTTTGTTCTGGGTGATAATAGGCAATCTCGGTACCGGCGTCAAATTATATTCAGTTTTTAACGTTTCAGATGGTTAAATGATATGGTTTAAGGTTTAATGGAGTCCAATTTATTAAAGTAATAAAAAATTAAGACTTATCAAAACGTCTTATCACAGTCTTTAGGTTTTAATTGTACACGTGGTAGCTTAAATTCTTCAAAGATTTACAAGAATTTAGAAAACCACATTTAAAACCATTTGATAACAATAATAAGTGTCTAATCGAACGAAGGATGGTAAACATCATTGTTGAAAAAGTATTAGGTTCAAATAGAATGTTAGACAAAACAGAATGTAAACATTTATTACAATTACATTTGTAAACACGAATACTCGGAATTCTCTTCCCACTACTTAGATGAGAATGTAAAGATTTTTCCGAGCTAGCATTGAGAGTCCTTTTTTTCGAAACTAAAGAGCATTCTCCCTCGCCCCTACGATTACTGTAGAAAATTACAGGCTACAATTGTTGTTATTTATTTTAACAAAGGGTTTACAGAAGTGGGAGGCACGCGAACAGTATTTACATAAAAACAAAGAATTATATTCGGTGGAATGTAAACAGCGGGTTGCGACCGCCGCGCCGCGGAAGGCAGATGTGTCGCGAGCTAGTGAGGGAACTGTGTCGATGAAATAACAACTATGTACTACTGTCTGTTTTATAATAAAATATACACTTACAAAAGGTTTTAACTACATACTTATCGCAAAATAGTGTAAATATTTATTTCAAGTAACATTATATTTAATGCAATGATGTTCAATTTTCATATAACATGTCTGTCTGAAGATATAATATAACTTATAACATTAAACAAAAGGTTCTTTTTGATGTGAAGTATCCAAAAAGCTGCCAATTCATATAATTTTACATCGTGTTTCATTAACATAAACTTTTATCTAGAGCGTCGGAATATGTTCAAGAGTTTTTGAAGTTAATTCATCAAGCGATGAGAGTGCGAAGAATTAGATTTATAATTCTAGAAAATGTTCTCTATAAGTAATTCTTGCTTGTGAAAATGAGTATTGAGATAGATAAAAACAAAGTAGCTTTTATATTTAAGTATATGATATTATAGTAAGACATTATCTTTTCTCGAAGGCTTAGAATGTAAGAAGTACTTGAATATCAAGTGCTTAGTAGAGTTGAGATGCCTTATCGACAGTGGTGGTGGCTCCTCACAAAATCGCAATAAAATGGCGACTGTAGGCGGCGGGCGACGGGTGTTTTTAAGTCGTCTTGCCTTCATCCAAACACAAGCCAAAAATCTTTATAAATGCAAACGGGACGGCGTTATTTACATCTATGTGGGGGTGAAAGAGACAGCGTGAGGTGCATCTGAGTTGGTTCTGCGGTTGTGGGTAGATACAGCACGTTCTTACTGCCTCAGTCGGTGTGGTTAAGGGTACCCCAAGTTTGCAACGAATTGAAGTGGAGTTGGGAAAAACAAATGACTAAGTATCTCATTTGAATATGTAAGTTGGAGTGTTTAAAACGAAATAGGTGTTACTACGCGAATGCTTCGGAGACAGAGCTTATGTTTTTTGATAGGCGATTTGTTTTTTTAACGATTTTGACAGTCGTTTTTGTAACAGAGGGTAGATTTACGTTTATAAAAGATGGATGTATTGACTATAACATGGCATAGTATTACTAATATTTATCGGCAATGGAAGAGGCAGAAGTAATTTGGTGCGATGTTTTTCATTTCCTAAATATAATATTGATTAGGTATAGCTAACAATGATAGGACTAACAGCCGCTAATGAACCTTTAAAAACTTAATAGTGTTTCAATAACAACCAATAAACAAGGTTCTCGTGTGAAATTTTCCACTACACAGTCAATTTTCGACCGTGACGTAGTACATTTAAAGGCCTACCATTTTCTAAGTTTTTTTCTGAAACACAATTTGAATTTGTAATACTTGTACGAGGAAACTTTGGACATCAATATTTATGGTTATTATGACTCACCTGCCACCGACTAGGAGATAATTTCCATCCCTTAATAATAATCTGAAGTAATCTGTATGTGTGTCGTTTCCAAGAAACTTGTGCGTGTCATCGACCCCTGTAACAAATAAATTAACGTTAATTACATCTAATAATAATTAACACGTATTATATAGGTACTAAGGTTCATAGTTACATAGCAGATAATATTCTACATTAAACAAAAGAAGTTATTGCGAAGAAATCTGCAACAAAAACAACTATAATACACATTAATTAGTGTAATACTAAAATATAATTTGATAAATTATCGCCCGAATACTGAAAGGCTACTCGATTTTAAGTTGTACTTAAATATCGTGCCATCTCTATCATTTTACAAAGAATTTGTAGTGACAGAATAGGGTAGATGCCTAATTTTTATTTTAATGTCCGTCTGGTAGATTATTTTAAATCATTAGACACGTATTTTTTATTTTCTTACAGAAACGAATACTTTCGACGATATATTGATTTGAAATATCGCGTGACGTCACTTCTATGTACATTTTAATACTTAGAAATGATGTGTTAGCCCAGTCCTAAACTTTGATTCGTTTTATCTAAGCATTGTTTTATTATACGACAAAATAAAAAAATACGTGTCTAATATTTTTTCATTACTTAAAATACGGACTAATTCTATTTTTAATTTTCATACCCTGTCATCATCCCAATTATACTTAAGCGCGACTTAAATTTTAGTGGCGTTTCAGTATTCGGCCATATGCTACTTAAATACTAATGCTTTTAATATACACATACTGCTTAGACATTCGCTTAGATACATATAATGTAGAATAAGAAAAGGTATTTACTCTATATTGTATAACATTTAGGTTAGGCTACGCTAGCCGCGGTTAGGTTTAAGGAGTCAGCAGTCCAATTACAAATATAAGGTCACAGATAATTATCAGACGCTGTAATAGCGATTTCGAAAATCAACCAAATTAACGGGTTCAACCACAGATATTTTTCATTTTGAACGTATAAGACCTAAAGAAACTTTTTGTTAGAAAACGTAAAAGTAGTCACAAAAGATTATTTTTTAACAACGTTGGCCCACTCTAGGATTTTCTTCTGTGTCGTGGATGCGTTTACAAATATACAAGTTCATTACACATCACACCCAGACCCAAAACAACAATTTGTGGATCACACAAAGTGTTGTTCCGTGCGGGAATCGAAACAGCGACACGTTGCACGATAGCCGGTTGTCTGGCGACCGCACCAACCGTGCAGTCAAAGATAAAGATAAAAACATGTATTTGCGTTAAATATGGCATATAAAGGTGTTATAGTTACAATAGATCATCATGTTATAAATAAAGCATAGAAATTTTAACTTATAACTTATTTCAACAGTTATTTCGGAAAAATCTAGTTTCAAACACTGAAAGAATTATATGTCATCCAATTTGTTAAGTAAATACCTACATTTTTTAACGTCGTTTGTGAAAGCGCTATATTATACCTCAGAACTTAAGTCTCAACATCGAGAGAGTCCCGTCCCCCAATCTAGTTAGCAAAAGGGCAGAAGAAAGGAAGATATACAAAGTTCATCGACCTCTATCTTTGAACATAGTATGTTTATTTATACCCAATTACTTTAAAAGCAGGGAAAAGTTTCCTTTTTATCTTATTAGTGTAAGGTTACCACATTATGTATAGAATTTGGATATTTCTACACCTATCCATTGGTACTGTGGATAGGTATTTGATAATAGTCTTTTAGATTTTGTTTTGCGATTCAAGTTTGTCATTTTACGATCTCCGGCCACCGCAAGTGACTCGCCGCCCGATCAGAACCAGACCCGAGCGTACGGCGCGTTCCGCGCGCGAGCCATCAGACCACCACAGATGGGGCCCAATAGGGCTGATGCCGATACGGAGCCGCGGAAGACTTAGCGGGTTGCCGGGGCTCCGGCTCGAAGTGCAGGAGTAGGAACGGGGTGGTTTTTAGTCAGTAAGAATCTGACACACGCCTCACCCGGGCAGGAGAAGTAATTGGATGACTTTCCCCTCTCAAAAAAAAAGTTTATCATTTTGCACTATACCTTTTAATTTATATCATACGCTTAAGGAAAATATCATGAGGAAACCTAGGCTTACAATTTCTAGTTCAAAAGTAGTTTGAAATCGGCAACCGGCATTGAGCAAACGCGGGGATTATTGCTCAAACCTTTTCTGTGTGCGAAGAGGTCAGCGGTGGCCACTTATAGACAGTTGATGATGATAATAGTGATACAATCCACCTACTTTAGACATTTTTTGGAGTTCATCACATCAACAACACGAGATAGTCTACAGCTGGACTATGATGCTCGTCTACATAACCAAAGTTTACCTTCGCAGGCAATCATAGACACAATTTCGTCATAAAATCAGCCAGTAACACACGCAATAATTACTACATCAAACTTGGAACAATTAGTTTCATCAAGCCTACACACATTAGTTTCGACCTTAGTACTCAGATAATAACATTAAAATTCAGAGCACACTCCATGAAGATGCCTCTAATACGACCCGAAGGCTTAAACTCCAAATGAGGTCTGATATAACGGGTGTAGCCCCTCATTAAACTCCTTTTGTCGTGATTTCCAAGTTAGTCTTTTGACATCTGATTCCTATTTAGGAGTCCCAAACGATTTTCCACTTTATCCCTTTGTCATTAGGCACCCTTTGTTTTATAACAGAAAAGATGTTAAGAAAACATTCATGAGATGAAATAACCTTGGATGTTTTTTCAAAGTCAAATCTTCTCGAAGTGTTTGTTTATGGGGAGTTTTATGGTGCGATTCCAAATGTAAAAGTAACTTTATATAAAGTGTGAGTAATTTTACTAGGAAAGTAATCGAAGATTGAATTATGTACAAGAAATAAGATGTCAAAACATGTAGATCTCACTTTTCCTGAACTAAGCGTGGGTGAAATTGATAGAAAAGTATTTTGATATGAGCATTTTAATAGTAGTTTCTGTCATTATTATAATAGTTGTGCCTTGAAAGCTATACGAACTAATCAGATAATAGGTAACAGAATATATATTTTTTTAAACATTGCCTTACTCTAGGTTTTTCTCCTGTGTGTGCGTTTACAAACATACCTACAAGTTCTCATTCGCATGACACCCAGACCCGGAACAACGATTTGTGGATAACACAAAGAGTTGCTCTGTGCGAGAATCGAACCGGCGACACATTGCGTGTTAGCCGGTTGCCCAGTCACTGCACCAACCGTGTCGTCAAATATTATAAAATTAAAAACCAGCATTATCTAACTTCATTAAATGCTAGCTTTTAGATTATTCCGAATTCCTTTGTAGAATTAAAGATTTAGGAATATTATCATAGAAAGGAGGCCATTGTTATTTCACAACTAAGACGCGTTTACACAATCTTTTTGTGAAGTTGTTTTAAAATGAATTTGTAAAGTTTTCTCAAAGTTTACAAGGTCTGGTCTACACTAGTTTAAAGTTAGTAAAATGATTGAGGTATTGTTGAAAGTGCTTCTTTATTATAGCACGCCATGTTTTCAACTTTTAAAGTTTATTTTTACAACTCGACATCGGAATACGAGATTAAGAGAGTACTTATGTACACATTGTTCAAATGTTGTATGTTTGCTTTTAAGTTTTTTACACGAATGAGAATCTTTCATATAACGTCCTATAGCATTTGTAAAAGCCATTGATCACAGAATAATGTCAATTTAAATATAATAAAATTTATCACATATTCAGTCTCTAAATAAAACAATAATATTCGATTTTTAAATCTAAAACGTACCAAGCACCATAAGACTGTGTATTCAAATAATTTCTGAACAAAAACCTCAGTTGTTTACCCAGCCCACAGAATCGAAGCGAGCCGTGTCATTTGAAATGTGCAAAAATAAATTGGGTGCCTGTATATGGTATTGGGGTGAACATTTTTTCCATATACGCAATTCACGAGTGAGTAGGAGTGTCGATCATGGGATATTAGTCTCCACAATCGTTCGCGATCGTTCCCCCTTCTGTCGTTTTCCGAAGGATCGGAAAATCTAAAAAATATACCCTTTTTCATACATGAATTTACGCGTATCCAACATCGTTAGCTTCGATATAAATTTATCTCTTTCTGACTATCTAACTTTAGGGAGATTTAGGTTCAAGCCGACTAACAAGGGGCATCTAAACTTTTTTATTTGTGGACCCCGTCAGCAACAAAATGGCGTCCTTGGACGACATATTCAAAGCGTCTTCACGCATCCCGTCACCGCCTTGAGCCCGAACGGGACTTTTTAATTAGTTTTAAAATAATGAAAGGTCGAAGAGATCTTGTTAAAGTTTAACGCTACGATAACTGAAAGAAAAACGTAATGGTTTTCCTTTTTCATTAGATAAGCTGATAAAGAAAGATAAGGTAGCATGCGATGGTTCCTTTCTTTGTTGTAAATTATGTATTTTTATTTTCCCTTGAGGCATCGTTTTAGCTATTTGCCACTGTAATGTCTTACTGCATTCATGTTCTGTTTTATACATTTATTGTGAAAATAACGTCGACGAATAGAAGTCTTTACTAATATTCACAAGTAATCTTTGTAATATGAAATGCATGCTCTAATTGTAGTAAGCTGTACTATGTATTTTCTTTTCTCCAGTCACAAAAATAACACGAAACAGAATATTTAAGTACAAATTATGACGCAAAATTTTAAAAACCATGACGTTACCATGAAGCTGGAATTACGTCAATTTGCTCACAAAAGCCCATTCCTAGTGAACACGTCAAATACATTACTTTTTGTTGAAAAATATGTCCGCTTTGAGCGTTGGGATTATGGCGCATTTTTCTGTGTACAGCTAATTCTGTTGGAGCGCAAGTGTGCGTGGCAGAGATGTCCTAAATTAGATTCTAGATAGTTTCGGTTTCCTTTCTGAAGTCGCAACGTTTATGTGCGGAAATTAAATCTACGTTGGACGCAGGTTGTGCTATAAAGTTGTGACTTATGAGAGACACTACTAATTAATGGACATTTTATAAACTCCGTTACTCTTTGCTTGGAAGGTTTAGTATTAGCTTCGGTATGTGGCAATCGACTTGGTTTTTCCTCAAAGGGAGGATAAAGGCAAAAAATGTAATGTCGTAAAGTTTTCACTATTTCGGTTAAAATAAGCGTTGATGATTGATAGCGTGGTAATATAGAAAAAACAATGAAATTTTATGATAAAGTTGGTATATTTTGCCTTTGAGGTAAAGACGTGGATATTGAAATTATTATCTTAATTATATCTTGATGAATATTCACTTAAAGGCACTTCACAGGCGTTCACAACTGAGTAGTTATACCTAACACGACCTTGTAGAGCGTACGAAACCTGCTTTCAAAAACATATTTGATTTGTGTTGATAACCGCACCCAAGCTTACATGACTTGCTAGGGAGGGGCAACACTATAAAACGGAGGTATCGATAAACAGAAAAACCTCTCATAAACGACATCAGACAGTTCGATGGCAGCTAGAGGCCATTTCCCATGGTAAAAGTTAAAGTTTTTATCGTCGTACGTTACAGTTTCGTCTTTACAACTCTTATTCATAGAAAATTTTATGACATTGTTCAAGTTTGCCAAAGACATTATATTTAGGGTATCGTACATGAAAATATTTGGGGGACTTCGGTACTCGGCCATGGGATGCAATTTCGTAAATGTGGAACTTATTTTTATGTAAAGTTTGTGGTTTCTTTGTAATCTTTAGTAGTATACATACATCATGTATCAAATAAGCTATAGATTGAATGACATAAATTACTTGAGACAACAAAAAGTTTTAATATCTGAATTTTTGTTAGGGTTTAACATAAAATAGCGTAGTGATTCGAACCACTCGTACGGTATCAAACGATTTGCAATTTTAATAGAACTGTGTAAAAACGTAACTGCTGGAAATAGTGGGTCTAATACAAGATTTTCTTTGCCTATTCTCTCGGGTATAATATACAGGTTATAAAAGTAGTAGTGAAGAGAGATTCAAGTATAAGCCATTCCTAGCGTCCTGTCAGTAACGAGTGAGATAACATTTTACGACAATGATATCCGATGTTTTGACGTTCTCACCTATACCGTATTGTAGCTGCTACTTCTACATGATGTATCAGAACTGCTTCAAACCTTAAAGAGCGTAGAAGTATGTACCTATAGTAGTTTTATGGGGTAGGTGGTAAACGAGCAGACGGATCACCAGATAGTAAACGATCAGCGCCGTCCATGAACACACCAGGTCATTTACCATGGCGTTGCTTAGAAAGGGTTGCCATCTCCTTACTGAATAAGATAACTGTGTTTTTAAATTCAGTTCAATACGATCACTGAAACATTTCACCAAATAAAATGACGACATTAGAAAAATGAGCCTTAAGATATTTCCAAATGCCTATAAATTGTTTTCAAGTTCGTTTAAAGTCGAGGCTATGAATTGAGCCCCACATTTCCCTCGGGTGCCGTATGGTGTTAAATGGTTGCATCAGGGGCAAGTCTATAAATATGTCTTGTTCCGTATAGGCTGTTTGTTATCGGTAATTTATCCAGGAGCTACCTGTAGATGGGTCGCCTAGTTTCAAAAGAATTTGCATTTTAACTTTGCTTACCATCCCTAAAAAAGTCTACTTAACCACATTAAAAAGTATCGTGAGTATTATATATTATCATAAATCTAATCGACAAATGGAAATGTTAACAAATACAACACTTGGTTTCAGAAGCCATTTTTCTTATGAAAATCTCTTCAGTAAAAACGAGGCTAATTCACAACAATTCTCTGAAGAAGTCTGTTACAGTTTATTGTAGAAATCTTGTTGTTCAAACGAATTTTTCTCTAAGGAATATAAAAACAGTAGCTCTCATGATGTCGGTATCCGTCATCATTAGCGGACGACCGCTGTTACAGTCCACAACACAAGTGGTTCACGATATAAATCGTACTTTACTTTATAATAAACGAGAAACTTATGTGGCGTACTGTACCCATTTTTAGTGATGGGAAATGAATACTTGAGTAGATTGTCGATTAAAGTGAATGGTTTAATGATACTTGTCGTTTTGTGTCAATTGATTTGATTGGTCGATTTGCTTTGTCGGTGAACCGATCGCAATAAAAGCGAGTGTACCATTAGACGGACAATTTTGTAATTTTACCTTTTGAAGGGTTCATCAGTGTAAAGTTAACTTTTAATAGTTTCAACTTTTAGTCGTGAAAAAACCTCGTTTCGTATAATAATATGTAATGAGATTATATCTAAACTTCATTAATAAGAGAACTTGCTACCAACAGCTACCAAACCGACCTCGAGATAAGGAAAAAGTACCAACAAAGATGAAAGAGAAATACACTGAGAGTTTTTACCAAACAATCCTCTGTAGAATACGGCGACTGTATTGTAACGTCTCGTTTTTTCCGTTTGTAGTGGAGACACGATGAATTATCCAAGTGTAAAGGTCCTCCGCTAACAACTACAGAACATGCGTCACTTACATTGTGAGGTAAAGGTCGGAGACTAGAGATGGGATATAAGATATCGATAATTAAATGGAGATTATTGTAAGACGTCGTGAATAGAGTTAACTTAATTTGTTGTTTTTTATGGTAAGATCGACTTATCTTACGTATGACCACATGATTGTACGTCTCCAAAACTAGTTTGAAAAACTTAACAAAAGCAAGAAGAAGAAGGCAACAGCCTTTTGAAATCCTCTAAAATGCGCATAACGTAAGCTATAAGTATCGAACATCCTGTACAATTTGTTTCTTGTAGACTCCTCTGCTGTTGTTTCTTGTAGCTGTTGTTTTGATCAATTTATAGAATACCGTCGATGTTCGACATAAGTCGAGCTGTATAATCGATTACACGGTCACTCGATAGTATCGAGTAACTGCGTCACATCTCTACCGGTCATTGTTGGCAGGCAGGACATTTTGTCCTCTCGAGCTCGGGTCGTTAGGTTTAATGGGCGAGCCTGCCATGGTAACGACTAACAACGCACGTATGTTATCGCCTTCTATTTTTGCCGGACAATGCCACGAAAAATCTTCGTTTTATCATTGAAATGTTGCCGTGTAAATTATTATAACGGGAGTTGCCAGTGCAAAAAGTATCGGTAGACTTGCCAGTATGTTAAAAAAGTTAACCAAAAGTTCGGAAAAATAATATGAATTTTTAATTTAACATTGTAAAAATAACTTGGTGAAATTGTGTCATTCGTTTAAATATTCTAGACAAGACACCTGTGTTTAATTATTTTTTACTAGCGCAGCCTGGATTACTCGCGATTACTTTAAGTTAGAAGCTCTAACATAACTACTGGCGAGTCTTTCATGAAACTTGATAGTACTCAGGTGCTCGAAGTTGCGAGAGCTCTGGACTGGGCTAATTCAGTTTAGACTGCCACCTATTAACCTGAGACTTATGGGACATACTGCACTTGTGTTCGTTAAGCTTCGTGGCTGCTCGGAGTCATTCGGGCTGGTATAAAAAGATGGCGACTTTACTAAGCCGTAGGTAATTTGAAGAGGGACGAGACAAAATAATAAAATTAAATTTAAAACATTAATTGTTAAATTAGACTTTTTTATGTCGATTTATGTTCTTTAATGATATCCACATGGTTCGTTATAAGCAGCTTCTGTTTTACCTAAGGTAGATACATTTCCTTTAGTCAATATACCAGCATATTGATTCTTTGTAATAACTAATTTAAGTTCTCTTTCTCCCTCTCTCTTCTTTCCATATTTATTTGCAAACTACTTAATAACTTCCTTAATACATTTTACAACGATAAGTACCTAAATATTTAACAGGAACAGATCGTGTTTTCTTAGCCGGAGACCACCCACGGAGCTAATGTTTTTTGCATTTAATACGCCATGGGAACATAAAAGTGTTTCGCATAACACTTTGGCCTGGAGTTTTTGCACGTGTGTGGTGTTTTGTTAGCTGTTGATAAGTTTATTTGTCAGTAATGAGAATATTTTTTTAAGTTAAAAATGTTGAAACATGAGTACCTATTCACAGAGTGACAAATGTTTTTATTAAGTTTTGAATCTTAACATTTCGTGATAAGGTCTATTTTAAACCGACTTCAAAAAAGGAGTAGGTTCTCAATTCGACCTGTTTTTTTACGATAACGACGTGGTGAATGCTTTAAAATATCGTGATATATTGAAGTCTATATATTATGTTGATTCAATAGAGGCACAAGCAAAAGAAACCTCCAATTTATGTTTTGAAAAAAAAAGGGAAAACAATTCCAACAAATAATTATTATAACTCAGGAAACTGAAACAGCACTTTGTACCACATGTATTAATTTTTTTACGGCATAAGCCGATAAACGAGCATACGGATCATCTGATGGTAAGCAATCGGCGTCGCTCATGGCCACCTGGAACACCAGAGGCGTTACATGTGCGATATCGGCCTTTTGGGATTAGGAGTTTGAGGATCTTTGGGGATTCAGGAATTGGGGAGATTGGGGATGGGGAGGGTAATTGGGCCTCCGGTAACTTCACTTACACGATGAAACACAACGCAAGCGTTGCTTCACGTCGGTGTTCTGTAAGGCCGTGGTATCACTCCGGTTGAGCCGTCCCATTTGTGCCGAAGCATGGCTCTCCCACACTTGATGTAATGAAGTAATGAAGTTAATTGTGTGACATCGATTGTTATAATTCACAATCACGTGTGTTTGTAACTGTCATTATAAAGGCGTACATACATATGTATAATATATATAGAGACATGAATGTCGCGTTGTCTGACTAAGCAAGTGATTAGGTAAATTGCTCAGTATACGTTTATTTGATTATGTGTACTGTCTTGTGTCAGTGACAGATGTAATAATGCTATAGTTATAAGATAATAGTTAATTTACTACGGTATTATGATTGCTATTGTATATTGTTTAATGTTTGTATAAGCCGGTATATAAGGTATCTATTAATTTAATAGCATTGTTTTTGGGTGCATTGAACACATGTAGAAAGACAGAATGTTTAAAGAGACATCAAGGATTTTAGACCAGCTCCTTGAGCATTGGTTTCCTGCCTAGATAACTACCACCTATAGCTAAGCAGTCAGTGCTGTAACTGAATTTTAATTGAATATTACACTTATGCCTGGTTTCATCAACCTGTCCTAAATTTTAAGGAACCCCTAAGGTAAGATAGGTGAGGTTTAACGATTTTTTTTGTTATCAACTTATAAGTGACACCTTTTTTGGTAAAAATGGCTATGAGTATCTCTGAAAGGTTTCGTGAATTGCTAGGTTTCGCCAAGACTAAGACAAATCTTCGACAAATACACATATCTAAATTGTACTAGTATCTATTCACTGTTAATCGAATCTGTTTGTCTGTATGTCACCTGTAATACCTGAGTAAAGCTGTAGACACACTAGCCAGCTTAACTTAGCTCAAGTTGGACAAAAGCAGTAATTATTCAACTTAAGCAAAGTTTAGTTTCGACTTTATGCCCTATTTGCGTCTATTACTAAGGTAAGTGTTGCTTTTCTTGTTTAATTAAAATTTTCACCTTGAAGTAATATTTATTTATAATTAAATAAGATGGTTTGATTGTTTAGGGAAGTCTCTGTCTTGCCCTCTCAGTCGTTGTTGGGTACTCGTAGTTATAGAGAGGTAAAGCTAAGGTATTGTTTATAAACATTATTTATTTCTACGTTTCAGAAGATTTTTCCTTGATTGAAAATCTTTAAAGTGTTTGTATTTTTAAGGAGTTTTTGATCTAGGCAGTGACTTCTTACTATCAGAGAAAGAGAGATCCAAGAAAGAAAAGGTAAGAATTTGATTCACTTAGTAGCTATCAGAGAAAGAGAGAGAGGGGGTGGGGGGGAGATAGAGAGCTGTGTTGGTATTTCTTCATGATTAAAATAAAACTAAGTACGGTTCACGAGTTATGTTATGGCGGGAATGAATTTCGCGCAGAAAACTGCGCATAACGTATTTTAGGAACCAAAACGGCGACGTGTCCGGGACAGGGATACGCTAGTGATTGACTCTAATTAAACACAATCGTTTTATTGTTTAATCAATTTATTTGCGAGTATACATGCGCGAAAGTGGCTTGCGGCTAACTTCACACTCGCCATAACTATTGAACCGTAATGTATATGTATCTATGTATACCAAAACAGATAGCTACCGTGACATTGTCCACAATATGATGAAAACTACAAAATAAACCAAGAAACCTTTTGTTGCGCAGTTTGTTCTCGTATCAAATAAGAGGAGGTAAGGAAAAACGGACCACCCACCCCCATAAACACACAAAAGAAGCGATCGTTGAGGATAAATTAATCTTAAAATATACATTCGAAGGACTTCCAGTTCAGAGGAGCGTCTTTTAAAGGAATTTTGATGAAATTAGGGATTGAAAATAAACCATTTGTGCGTAAATAAGACTTACTTGTAGGGATTTAATGAGCATCCTTAGGAGGCTTCCATTTTAGTGTCTTCTGTATATTAAAAAGGTGAAGTTAATCAAATTTTTGTGTGGGCATCAAATACCGAAAGTGCTTTCTATTTGATTTTTATTTCTACGTACAAAGACCATTCATGTTTTTAAAAGAGAAAATTAAGGAGTTCTGTTTACCTTTACTCTGTTTATGTAATAGAAAACTTCGAGAACATTCTTGTTACTTTTATTTTTGATTCTATGTGTAATCATATAAAAATTCAGGTCATACTTGACCCGTATTTTCTTAAGCGACAAAATTGCGAGTGGCACACGATTATATAAGTAAGGTGGCACTGATTTAATTTCCTGTGCACTACCACCGCGCCGTGCTAGCCCTGCTTCCCCACAACCATTAAGAAACTGGAAGTCGTAGCGTAGAATACGTTATCGACTTTCCAGATGTGGGAAAGCCTGGAAGTATTTCCACAAAATGTTCAACAAATTCCAAATAAATATTAAAAAGAAAACTGTTCTTACGGATAACTAAATATAAAAAGCTCTTGTTTTCATCTAGTAGGTATATTTTTTAGTTAATCTCTCGACTAAATCAAACCTTTCTATCAAAATTATAGTCCACGAAAATATTTAATAAATTCGAATTCGAGAGCTAGAAAATAAATTTTAATCCCAGACTATATGTAGGTATACTATAAACATAAAAACAGCAATTTCATAAACATTAAACACGGATCACTAATCGGAAATTAATATTCTCGGAGCAACGTTTTTCAATAATGCAATTTCCTCTTTATAAAAATATCGGAATCTCTTCTAGAAACGAGCTGTTTTAATTCCGTGTTAAGAAGGAGAGGGATGAGGGGGGAGATTCTGGAGTGCTTACAAATGTCGGAGGGTTGCAGGTGACTCAAGAAGTTGCCAACGTGAACCGCATTTAAATAATAATCACCCTAAGATGATCTAATAGGGTTCGTTAATCGGTCTTTGAGGACGAACTTGATTGTTATTCCAACTTCGGAAAGGTATATTTTTGTCTGCCAACTTTTCTGTTTATTGTCTTCATGTCTTCCAAGTTTGCGTTCCGATATGAGTTTTGTTTTATATTAAATGTGTTATTAATTTGTGAATGTATCTGTGTGTGGATTTTTAATTTGGCGTCAGTTTTGAAGAACATTTTAGACAGTAGTCTTATTGTGTTTATCATTTGATAAGCGTTTACTTGAAAACATTGGTTTTAATATATAATATTATCTTATTTAATTGAATGAAACATTAAAAGTTAAAGAAAACATTGTAGTAGGTACTTCAAATGTTGCATTCGTTTCACATAGTCTAGTAACAGAATTCTAAAGGTACTATTCCGCAAAGTATTATTCCTATCCCATAAATCATAAAACAAGTTTCGAGATCTTACACAAAGCAAACAAACATACATCAATGTTAAAATCTAAAACAGCAAAGTTTAAACATGTCGGAGCTTCAATACGTTTTGGAGGGCCATCGATTTTGCAAATGCTTTCGGTAACACTACCTAAGTGGTTGGTTGGCACACAAGTTGGGTACATATTTACTGGAATACTGGACCAAGGAAACGTGGAATAGTGAATGGTGGTCGGTGGACAGATATGGATGCGTTTCCGTAGTATTCTGAGAGCCACCGACGATTAATCTTGCACCTAGTGGAGGGAGTGGGGATCGGATCGTAAGTTTCGACGTTGCGACAGATAGATAGGTTTTGCTAGTCTCATTAGGAATGTAGTCGATAGGTTTGCGATAGAAGCTGATTAGTTTTACGATAGTTGCTGTGGTATAAGATCTTTGTTGGTTATTGTTTTTGTGGCTTAATAGGGATGATAGGAACTTTATTGTCAGATCTGTAGATATAGTGGTCAAACGTTGCCACATCAAATATAAAAAAAATCTTAACCAAATGTTCAAAGGAGTATTCAATACTTTTTGTAAAAATCCAATTATGAGAGCACTTATTTATTTATTGTCATTAATTCTTGAGTACAGAGTAGCTGTCCTTTTACGGCCGTTCCCAATATTCAATCCATAGGTAAAGATAGATAGCTATCCTCGATAGTCAGTTAAAATCTATCTATCTTTCGATGTCGTCCCAATAACTAAAATGTGTCTTTGCTATCTCTAGTTAACAGTAGATAGGGTGCCTATCTGAGCCCTCCCGTGTGTTTCATTATATGCAGAGCTCCACAGAGTGCCACTAAGTTACAATAATGTTTTTAAAGCATCTTGTCATGTTTATATCACAAACATTTTGAATTAATTAACGAAACCTTATATTTTGCACTAATTTTATATTATACAATATTTTTTTAAGTTTAATATAACGAAAACTTCATGTTTGCGACTGGAATAGTGCGCGACTTGTAACGGAACGTATTTGTTAAAAGATTGACATTTGACATTGTTGTTTGTTGATTTTGTTTACAAAAATTGTGATAATAACAAAGAATTGTTTGTTATAAAAATGACCTCAGTAAGTATTACCTACAGTTTGTGCTTTTGTAGCTTTAGATTGAAGCTATTGAAGTTTTAAAGTTCTTGATTACATGAACATCATGCGACTAATAACTCGTGTTTTGGTGCACTCATTGCAGCAAAAGAATATGCTATTGACGAAAGAAGAAGTAATGCAGCTGGTACAATTGTGGAGGCAAATCCATTGATGTTCAGCAAAGCCACAAATGCAAGCAATAATCAGCTCAAAGATGCGAGGATTAGGTAACACAGATATTTCTTGTGTATTTCATTTTTGGGGTTTGGTATTGGTTATGACTAATTACTTTTCAATACTGTTTGGTTACAAAACTTTTATATGGTGGTTGTAGTGAGGACCAAAATGGAATAATACACTGAATAATATTTTTCTAGGAAAACAGAAAAGACGAGCTGATGCAGATGAAATGAGTCAATTACAGATTGAAATCAGGCAATCGCAGAATATTACTTCCAAGTCAAAAATAAAACACGACGATGAAATACATGCATTAAAGAAACGGAAACTCTAGCTAGATATACTGGAGAAGGAGAAACAACCCAATAATAATTCATGTATTTTAATAATGTATTTACTCTAAGCTTGTAATAATTATCTATATAATATTTATTGCATTTTATTGTAGCTCATGTGAATGTGAT